TTACCCGACAAGAGGCTCAATAAAGGACATTTAATATTGTGCTAGTCGAAGGGCTCTTTGCTCGCTATTGCGCAATATAATGATCCTGCCTATCAGGCACACTAACTGTTTGTTAGCGCGGCTGTGTTGGTTAGTATCTAAATTAATGTAGCGAGCGTGTCTATGCGTAATCACCAATACCCGCAGTTGACAATATACGAAAAATACATTTACGTTAAGACAACACGTTACCAAAGAAAACTATTGATTTGAGTTTATTTTGTTTGAATGTTGCCGGTGTTAGTTTTTCCTGGGCCAACGGGTACAATATTGTTGATCTGCGGCAACTTTCAAAACCTATTGGTGTTTACGCTATGGCTCGCTAAGAGTCGTTCGGTCACACTCGCACGCGTTTACAACGACTGTTTTCAATCATTATCGTCGCAGCGGGCCTTCGCAAGCTAACTTATAGAGAAGCGATGTTTACTATGTGGTTTTTAACTCAAAGTGTGCACAACAACACTTTGATTGCCACTTGAGTCGCTGGTTGACGCAAGGTTACTGTTTAGAACCGGCGTTTTGAACAATCATAAACGCTGTAGGTTCTTTTACGTTGTGCGCCATGTGACGGGGTGATTGCTCAGTCTTTTATTTATGCGCGCGATCGTATCGAAGAGCGCGGGGGATTGTCGAAACGTTCAAACTCGTCAACCGGAGAGCAGGAGGGAACGGGAGTCAGTCAACCAAGTTGTTACTAACGAGAAATAATAACAGCGAAATTATAATCAGTATCACATGTGAGTTAGTTTATTTCTCTTTTCTCTACAGTATACTTGGCCCGCGTGTTTATGTTTACAAAGCGCGCGCGCGTCAATAACATGCAATGTTGGAGCGATCGTAGCTCTTTGTTCGTCGAGTTAGTACATGCACGCTACCGATTCATACAGAGTACGAGGTATTAGCAATTAATTCCGCGCAATCGTGAGACAAATAAAACAAAGTCGCGATATAAAGCTGGCCAGCTTACCTTTGTATCGGTCGTACTACTCGCAAGGGGAAAAGAGACAAGTTCGTTATTGTTCGTTAATGTTCTCCACCGGGACGGTCTGCTCCTGGTTTCGCCCTTGATGGCGAAACAATCCACACATGCTCACTCATACACACCCGCTACCACAGCGACGAAAACGGTTCTCGTGAACTCGGAGGTGTCATTTCGTCTCGTGTGGAAAATCGGCTCGCTCACTCCTTACTTCCGACGGAAACTTTCGACGGTGAAAACTTTGGTTTGAAGTTAGGCGGCTAGATGCTCGGATAGCTTATCCTCGACTGGTTCATTTATATTCGCGCGCGTTCCGCCCCGTCTCGTGCCGAATTCCCTCGTTACACATTTTCCCCAACCGGTAGGTGCTGCCCACGCAGACAGCCGCATGGTTGGGCTGCTAGCGGTAATAGGACGTTTACCGTCACAACATACGAATATAAATATATATGTATAGATCTATAAATGATAATTAGACCTCGTGTTATTCTCGTGTTTATTTTTAAGAGATATTTCTCGCCATTTTGGTACTATTACAATAAAATGTATTAAACATATTTTTATTTGTCATAATTTATGTTTGAGCTACAGATATATTTTATAAAAAAAAATGGGATACCCCACGTACGGTGTAGAAATCAATCATTTTAAGAAAAAGCAACTGATAAACTCAATTCTCCCAAAGTTAGGTCTATTAGCCTACATTTGGTTGGGTAAGGGTAGTTTATGGGGATTTGGTGGGTAAGAGGCAGGTTGGTTAATTGAGGTAGATCGCTCAGGTGTAGAATTAAATTATTTCAGGAAATAACAAACGACTTAACTCGCGTTTCCCAGGGTTAGGAGGTTTAGGCTGCTTGTGTTTCAGTAAGGGTGATTTATAAGGATGGGGGTTAGATAGGTTAGGGGTAGGTGGATAAGACGTATGTGATTCAGCTGGGATTACTCGCTTATGGTGTAAAATTCAATTATTTCAACAAATAACAAACGACTAAAGTTGCTTTTCCCAGGATTAGGTGGGTTAGCTTGCATGTGGTTTGGTAAGGGTGGTTTATGGGGGTTTGGTAGGATAGAGGCAAGTTGGTTAGTTGAGGTAGCTCGCTCATGCAGAGGATTAAATAATTTCAAGAAATAACAAACGACTAAACTTGTTTATCCCAGGGTTAGGTGAATTAACCTGCTGATAGTTTGATAGGGGTGGTTTCTCGGGAGTGAAACACCCCTTATATATATTTTTTTTTAAATCCGGAAACACGTTAATCTAATTTTGGTAATTTCTCATTATCAGTGCGATTTTTAAACTGATTTACTGTATTACATGTCGTAAAACAGTACAAAAAATAGTGTATTTTTCCCTATTAAAAAGGGGGTATTCGGTATAAATGTTATGTTCTTAAAAGTGCCTTTGTATAAGAAATTTTTTAACGTTGAGTTTATTGAAAAATATTCATTTGATGCTGAGAATTATTAAAAAAACTGATTTTAGGTGTTGATTTTCAAGGTGGATTTTCACCCCTTAAAAGCCTTTATGGGCCGATAAAAAAACATATATCTAGTTTTTTTTCAAGTACTACAACATATCCCAAAATCATTCAAATCGGTGAGGTCGGGTTGGAATGGTTCCCTTGTGAGTGGAACAATAGATTACTCCAAATTAGTCGTGGTACGGTCACGGTTTCAAAATGGGAAGGGTATCGGATACGAAATTTATAGACCAAAGCATAAAGTAGATATAGTTCACAAATATGCGAGGTATAGTACAGTATTTTCAACGAACGAGGAACCTACCGTATACTTAAATGCCTATTTGCAAGAGAAAAACATTAACTATCTTTTAGAAGGATTACAGAAGTTAGAAAATAACTGGAAAAAGTATATAGATTTGAAAAGAGACTATGTTGAAAAATACAGTGATTTTAGAAAACAAAACCTCTTTTTATTTTGTTAGGTTGGAAACTTTTCCAGATAAATCTCATACAAGTATGAATACAATTAACTTCCGCACTATTCTTGTCATATGTCACTGTGAAGTTATCAAACGTGTATGTTGCATTGTTTTCTTTACATATACCATAAATCAAATCCAAAATACTAGAGACACTTTTATCCATTCATGTACTGATACTCTCGTCAAATACGAGGTGTGTTCAAAAAGTAACAAGAATTTTTAAATTTCGCGGGTTTGGAGAGTCCGCTTCTATAAAATTTTTTTTTATTATGTTGGTACACATGCCCCTGAAGTACGATAAAATTTTCAGCAATAAAGCAATAATTGAAGATGACGAACGACCCGGACGCCCAAGCACATCAACAACCGATGAAAACGTGAAAAAAGTGAAAGAAATGGTTATGAACGATCGCCGAATCACAATCAGAGAAGTCGCTGATGATGTTGGCATATCAGTTGGCTCATGCCATCAAATTTTTTCGAATGTTTTGGGTATGAAACGTGTGGCAGCAAAATTCGTTCCAAAATTGTTGAATTTCGAACAAAAACAGCGGCGAATGGAAGTTGCTCATGAGTCGCTAAATGAAGTCAATAACGATGCAGAACTACTAAAACGTGTTATAACAGGTGACGAAACATGGGTTTACGGATATGATGTCGAAACTAAGGCTCAATCGTCCCAGTGGAGGCATTCTGGATCGCCAAGACCGAAAAAGGCTCGACAAGTACGGTCGAATGTGAAGGTTATGCTCACTGTGTTCTTCGATTTTATTGGCATAGTGCATTATGAATTCTTACCATAAGGTCAAACAATCAATAAGCAGTACTACCTACAAGTTCAACGTCGTTTGCGTGAAGCAATCCGAAAAAAACGCCCGGATTTGTGGCAAAACAATTCATGGCTTTTACACCACGATAATGCGCCTGCTCACACTTCATTGCTTGTTCGTGAATTTTTGGCCAAAAACGAAACTGTAACGATGCCTCAGCCTCCATATTCGCCAGATATGGCTCCATGTGACTTTTTTCTATTTCCAAAAATATAGATAACATTAAAAGGCCGTCGTTTTACAGGCATAGATGACATTAAAAGCGAATCGCTGAAAGAGCTAAAAGCTATTACAAAGATCGAGTTTCAAAAGTGTTTCGAGGATTGGAAAAAGCGTTGGCATAAGTGTATTGTATCCGAAGGGGACTACTTTGAAGGCGACAACATTAATGTAGATGAATAAATAAATATTTTTTTCATAAAACGAAAATTCTCGTTATTTTTTGAACACACCTCGTACATGCTCTCGTCTTTGCTTGGATCAGATAAACTATGATAAATTATATTTTATTTTTGTGTATAATATATTATACTTATTATTATATTATTATATTTTTGTTATTATATTATTATTATTATATTTTTGTGTATAATAGTAACTCTTCTTTTTCCAGTGATTTTTTTAATTCCTTGCTTTTGTTACCTTAGCTTTCAGTTCCACTTTCATTCCTTTTCTTGCCTTCTTGACATATACTTGACATCTCTTAACACTTGTTATTATTCTTATGTAGTATATGTGGAGTTCATTTTTCGTTTACTTTCTTACTCAGAGTTTCTTACAGAATTATTTTCTACGTTTGTTTTCTTTTTCCGTGTCAGTTTTCTTGCTCGTTCTATCTTTCTTTATCTTTTGCCTTTCTACTTCCATAATAAACTTTTTGGTTTCTTTGTCTTCGTCATATTCCTTAATCTTTCTCTATACATTTCTTTTATAATATTGCCTTTCTTGAACATATGTTTTTCATTTTTGTTTATGCCTTATTTCTTTGCCTTCATTAAGTATTTTGTATGTTACATTAATCTTTCGTCATTAAACTGTTTCATTTCTTGATTATATTATTTAATAATAAATTTGATTGTATTGCATTTCAATATATACCATAAGATAAATTTTTATCTATTTATCTATCTATGTATTTATTAATCTTTGTTATTCTCCGCTAATATATATTGATTGTTTTTGATCGATTGATTGTTTTTAATTTAAGGAAGGCCTATGAAAAATTGTTTAACTTATATAGTGGATGAAAACTGCTGCTTAATATCACAAGGTAAAGTAGGACAGTTGTTGATAGCTGGAAGAAACTTAGCTGATGGATATATACATGATTTTAATTCTAATAAGTTTATAGATAATCCATATTCCAAAGATAAAGGTAAGGTTCATTTTTAAATATATTTCTAAAATCAAAATTTAACTTTTTATAGCAATTTACAACATGTAATTATATTATTATAAGTTTTCCTTATACTCTGAAGCTATAAAGAATCGTATTCTAACAGTAAGTTAAGAATTGAGTAGTTTTTATATTAACGATCTTTTCAAATACATTAACAATGAGTTCAATAAATATTAAACAGGAGTTGTTCTAGAAAAGCCATAATTAATTTTAGAATGTCATTTGTTTCTTTATATTCTTGTACCTCCTTAACATGCTGTTGTCATCACCAATCGTGGTAAAGTAGTTTTTCCAGCTTTATGTTTAAATACCATAAATGAATAAGGTAATTTGAAACTTTTCAGAACATCCATTGTACGTGAACAACGGGACGTAAGGACTTTTGTTGTAAAGAATTTGTAAAGAATATTTGTAAAGAATTTTTTATAAAAATTGTCCTGGACATCGAGAGAAGAAAATATTTTATTTCTCGCTTTCCAAGACAATTTATAACAAAAATGGCTTTTTACTGTTTTTTATTCATATACTATATAACGAGTGTTCTGAAAAACTTTCAAGTTGATTAATTTATATGTTTAACAAAAAAGCTGAAAGAACTTCTGTTGCTCTGTCGGTAATGACATTAGAGACTAAAGAAGTAACTTTTTTGTTTTCGTGAAAAAAATACAATAAAATTTTTACCTCACAAACCCAACTTTCCTAGACCTCTAAAAAGTATGAACACGATAAAAAATCAACTGTTATTATATAGTACAGTACTATACAAGAAATTAAAGGTTAAGTTCTGTCATTTAACGCTTAGGACAATGTTAAAGCATAGTATACAGGAGTACCTTTACCTATCGCCTTGTGTGCTGTTTAAAAATTTTTTGAAAGCCCAAGGGAAAATAGGTTGATCGATCAGCCGAGAAATGTGAAAAATCATCTTGGTTTACTTTCTCTGCTGTTATCGACATTGCGCAGTCTTTACTTTTTCTGTATTTTTGTAGTATAATCGGCCTTGCTATCACTTCATATCATGTTTTCAGTTTACACATCACATTTTTCTAGATTATTTTACCTGTGGCATTTAGTTGTTTTTCTTAACCGCATTAATGTATTGTCGATGCCAGACCAACATTTGCGGCATGAACAAAATAAGGTGGACAGCAAAAGCATACAAATAAGAAGATCATAATAATTTAAAAAAATAAAGATATTCCTTAACGAATGTATGTAATCTACTGTCAATATAATTAAAAATTTGGCAAACATAAAGGAGCAGATATTGATGATGTAATTATTAGTCTCTCCATAACAGTAACACCAAATGCACAAGAAGTAGGAAGAATCCGCGGTAAGGAGGAGGGATCTGTGATGTGGACACCCGAGTATGGATGAAAATTTTTAGAAAATATTCATCAATTTGTGCAGAAGCTGCGCGTTCAGAACCCGCGATCAAATAATTTGTGCAACTTTTAATTACGCCAGTATTAATTAATTAAAGTCGAGTGCTGGCTAAACTTCGATTGCGATTTTCTCGTGGAAATACTGAAAATTTCCGAATTCTGACGACTCTATTGAGTTGCGCGTAATTTGTGCATCAAGAATATGTGGTTCTAATTGAAAAAAAATCAAAGGGTGCGGAAGGAACGATAATAATTAGATTTATAATAACTTTGGTTTGCCGCGCATGCGCGAACGCTCACGGCGCGCGGCGAGGCGCCTCCGACCTACGAACGCGCGGAAGAACGGTAGCATGGTGTATTACAGTGCCATAGCAACACGAAAAAGAATATTTATAGTCCACACAACAATTCTCATCGACATACACAAGTCTTTAGGAAATTGATTTTTCCTTGGTAGTTAGTTTTCCTGAAACAGGAGGCTATTATATATGGTGTCGAGGCAGAAGGGGGAATCGTGCTTGCGAAGAAAATAAAATAGAATATTTTACGATGACTAAATCTATGAGAATTCTTTTCAAGAGTTCTCATCGATTTAGTACAAAGCTTTTCGAGAAAATGATCTTCCCTCGTAGTTTTCCCGACACAGGTAGCGAAGCCGGCGCGGCGTCGAGCCCGAATTCGGTATTATGGCTTGCATTGAAAGAAAATAGATTCTTTTTTACGAGACTAAATCTATGAGAACTGTTCTCGAGAGTCCACTGAACAATTCTCATCTATTTAGTAAACGGGTTTTCCGAACAATAATTTCATTTTCAGCTTTCCCGACGAAGGTGGCTACGCCGGTGTCCAAACAGAATGCGCTATCGCTTTTCCGTAGGAAATGAAATAAATTTTTTTGCGACAACTAAATCAATGAGAATTGTTCTTTAGAGGCCACTGAACAATTCTCACACATTTAGTAGTCAGTTTTTCGGGAAAATGAATTTCCCCTTTAGCTCCAACGACACGGGTGGCTAGTCCGGTGGCCGTGCGGAATCTCGGTTTATTCTGTCGACTAAATCTATGAGAACTGTTCTCGAGAATCCATTGAACAATTCTCAGCGGTTTAGTAAACGCATTTTCAGATATCCATACATAAGTGGTTAGGCCGGAGTCGAGGCAGGTCTGGGTGTCATGAAATCAGAAAGTCATTAAGAAAGACATAAGATGCTTGTAAATGACTAAAAACCTACAAGAATTTTTTTGTAGCATTTTCTGGAGATTGCTCATTAATTTAGAACACATTTTTTGGAAATGGAATTCTTTCATGCAGTTTTCCAGACTTCAAGGGTGAACCGGTTGCTAAAATGAACAATGGATTGATTGAAATTAGTCATTTCTTAGACAAAAATTGTCTAAAATAATTTATATATGTGAAATTGGAGAACTTTTCGCTTGAAAATTCTTTAATTTCAGCTATAATTCTTGTTGGATTAGTTCAAGAATAAAATATTCATATTTTTCCTGACATTTTATAAGGGCCTCAAGTAATCCTATGTGACATTTCGATTGAAAAAAAGTGCTATTTTATAATTTTTTAAATCGAGCGAAATATAAAATTATTTGTTAGATTGACTTTTGAAAATCAAGAGATTTTGTACTCTTACCGAAAATCAAAATTGCATTCACACTCAAATTTTGATATTTTATTTGAATTCTCTCTAACACGGGAAATAATTATTTTTTGCAAAAATTTGTCTTAGATGTGTGAAAATTATTGAGCTTACATTTTAATACTTTCATTAATTTTGATTATTCATAATTCTAACTACTAGCTTATTGCTAGCGCCGTGATGTCTTATTCAAAATGAGCTGACGATCATCGCATATTATGGATTTGTCCATGATTTATATTACTAAAAGAAACTATGTTAAAATGACTTAAGAAGGCAACAATTATTGAACCATGCTCTATTGAAAAACTTTTAGAAGATCCCTGTATCAAAAGTTGTAAAATTATATTCAATTTTATAAAGCTTGTTCTTTATATATATATATATATATATATATATATATATATATATATATATATATATTGTAACAGGCTGCCATTTAGTCGATAATCTCTGGAAAGTGCCTATATTACAACTAGACGAAGCCCTGTTATCTCTGTGCAACCTACCTTGCCTCGGAGTGCGCCTGCGCAGAGTCAGTTCGCTATTCCGAGTTGGGTTCCCCCAACTCACCGCTTGGCGGCGCTGTCGCCCCTTGCTAGTAGCGCTCGTGCGGCCGCCGCTGGAACCTAAGTCGTCGATTCGCGTCTACCGGTATTCGCACGATTCGTGCTACGCAACCGGCGAATTCGAATCGAACGTAAATAAACACTGACGCGACCTCCGGACAAAGGAAAGACTAAATAACGACTATTTGATTTAAATGGAACGGTTAATATGCACTTTATTCATGCAAGTTATTTACACGAGCGTTTGGCCGAGAGACTTACGCACGCTCGCGTGAATGACAAGACACGCTGAAAATGAGAGAGAGAGAAAACCACGGATGCCGCGAACTAACCGCTCGCGCGCAACAAACAAATTCTTCGCGCTCGCTGCGCGGGATCGCACGCAAATTGTAATAACAATAGAAAGGGGGAAAAGGTGCACCTACCGCAAGAACGACGAGGATACGGTGGCCAACCGTATCCAACTAACACGTTGTTAATAAGCTGATCCGCTGCTTGCTGCACCGCCTCGTTTGCTGTTGCTACTGTTGTTGTTGCCGCTATCGCTGCTACTGTTGTTGCTGCTAGAGCTGCCGCCGGTATAGCTGCTGCTACCGCTGCTGCTGCTGCTATTGCTGCTGCTCACCCACCCACGCACTCAAGTTCGCAATGTCACTGGCAAAACGAGAAACTCGGGAAAATTGGAGGTTAGCGCGACGCTGACACAGTCATACTACTGGTCGGAGCCTCCCCTCCCGGTCATTGCCCCTACGCGCTCTCTCTCTCTCGCGAACCGAACGCGGCTCCTCTCGCTTAGCCGCTCGTTAACCTCGCGCGAGTCTAACGATTTTCGGTAATCGTTGCAATATATATATATATATATATATTTAATATTGATAAAAATATTATTCCATTTTTTTCAATCGTCTTTTCTCTTTCCTTTCTTCCCATCTCTTATATACTGCTCCATTTTTCCTTTTTTCCCTTTTCTCCTTTTATTTTCCTTTTCCTTCTACCTTTCCAAGAGTATTTTGGTCACGAAAAAAAAAAATATGGAGAAAAGTTATTAATACTACCAATTATTTACTTCAAATCTACCGTCATTGCTACGTGATAATGGCTTAAGTTACGCGGTAACCTGACAGCAGATAAAGCCAATCAAACAAGAAGAGCAGACGATCAAAATCTAAGTGAATACACTGCTATTACACGCACTAAAAACTTATAATAGTAATGTTTTTTTCAGTTCTTATGTTTTTGTTCATTCCAAATTTTTTAATTGAATTTGATATATAAATGAGTGCTGCTTTTAACCCATGTAAAGTAGTTTATACTAATTGATTTTTATATAGTTATATACGAAGGCTCCTTCCTCTCAAGAGAGGAAA